ATTTACTAATGCCAGCAATTATCCAATTTAATATATAAAAATGCCTAAAACTTTAAACCAATAAAATTTGCATATATAAGCCCGAGTACGTACTCGTCACCTCGCGTACACGGCTTTCAATCACACAATTGCCACATAAGACTCAATGCCTAAGGGGTAATTTCCCCACTCGAGGTTAGGCAAGATACTTACCTTATTGAAGTTATGTCGATATTTCAAAATCGCCTTCTTGCTTGAATTGACCTCCGGACAGCTCAAAACTATCCAAATTAATTGTACCACTTCATTAAAATTCATCGGAAACCATTCCGGAGAATAAAATACCAACTTAAAATTTTATTCTAAAAAATCAGCGCGGGGCCCGCCCCTCGGAACCCGAAAACTTTTTACGAAATCTGAACACCCATTCCGATACGAGTTCAACCATACCAAAATTATCAAATTCCGATAACAGATCGCCCTCCAAATCTTAAATTAAAGTCTAGAAGATTTCTACTATTTTTAACCCAATTCACTAATTTAGTGATAAAAATAATAATAGATTCATGTAATTTAACCAAAATCAAGTTAGGAATTCTTACCCTAATGTTTTCCTTGAAAAACTCTCGAACAATCGCCTCACCCGAGCTCCCTTGGTCCAAAAATGGAAGAATGAGATGAATTTGGACTTTATTCTGCTGCCTAGGGATTTGTTCTTCGCGTTCGCGACCCTTCCCTCGCGTTCGCGATGAACAAATTCTCCAACAACCATTTTCAAACTCATCTGAGACAGCCTCTAGTAATAGTCATAATGTTTTATACAAAAACTCCAAATGACAAATGGTTTAACTTTATGGAAACTAGACCCAAAGGACTATAACTTTCATTTGTTTCTCATCTCCTCATTTCTTATAGATTGCTAGATATAAGCTTCCAAAGTCAGCCCTATGCAACAGAGATTTTAAAACTCTTCCCAGATAGCCTGTAATGTATCCACTATAACCTTTGGTACACAACTCCAAATGACAAATGGTTTACCTTTATGAAAACTAGACACAAAGGGCTATAACTTTCATTTTTGGATCATCTCCAAATTCTTTATAGATTGCGAGTTATGAGCCTCCAAAGTCAGACTATTGCAACAGAGATTTCCTTCTTCGCGAATGCGAAGAACAAATTCCCAGAAGCCAAATCCTTATTCGCGAACGCGAGAGGCTCCTCGCGAACGCAAAGAACAACACCAGATATCAGAAAATCAGCATCCAAAGTAGCCCAAAATGATCTGAAACACACCCGAGGCCCTCGAGATATCAACCAAACATACCAACGCGTCCCATAACATCATACGAACTTAGTCGAACCTTCAAAGCACCTTCAACAACACCAAAAATACGAATTACACACGGATTCAAGCCTAATAAAGTTAGAAATTTTTGAATTCCACAAACGATGCCGAAACCTCCCAAACTACGTCCGAATGACCTCAAATTTTACACACATGTCAGAAATGGCACAATGAAGTTATTTCAATTTTCAGAATCGGATTCCGACCCCGATATCAAAAAGTCAATCCCTCCCCCGGTCAAACTTTCCAAAAATTCATCTTTCGCCATTTCAAGCCTAATTCCACTGCAAACCTCCAAATAATTTTTCTGATACACTCCTAAGTCCATAATAACCATACGGAGCTATTGACATCATCAAAATTTCATTCCGGAGCCGTTTGCTCAAAAGTCGACTCTCCGGTCAACTCTTTACATTTAAGCTTCTAAATAAGGATTGTTCTTTTAATTTAATTTCGAATCTCCAGTAATTCAAACTCGACAACACCTGCGGGTCATAATACATATTGCGAAGTTGCTCGAGACCTTAAGTCACTGAACAGGGCGTTAATTCTTAAAACAATAAGTTGGGTCGTTACAGTGTAAGATAGGGGTGTCAATGGATATTCGAAAACCGACTAAACCGATCGAACCGTACCGTACCGAATCAATTTTTAGGTTTTTTTTTTAAAGAATCCGTAGGTTTTTATATAAATCTATAACCGCACCAATAATTAGGGTAGATTTTTTATTTTATGAAAATAAACCGAAAAAATACCGAACCATACCTAATAAATTTTACATGTGGAAAATATATTTATATAGTAAGTTTAAAAATAATAATGCATTAAATTTTTCTGTGGGCCTTGGAATTATGAAAACTGTTACAAGCCAACAAGTAATTAAACTCAAAATACTAATTCCTAAAACCTATTATGCTACTTCTACTTAAACTAAGTTATTTCAAGTATCTTCATTAGCAAGACACAAAGTGATTTATATCTTTCCACTCGTGCGATTTATATTTTTTTTGCCTTTACTTGGTTTCTTTTACATTGTTGTAGAATAGTTGATAGATCTATACTCTAGCCATCTTTTATTTTTTTAATTCATCACCCTTTAAACATTAAAAATGTCTAGAGAGTTTTGCTAAGTCTTATAAAAGAACATATGTCCATTCTACTCCTACTGGTGAATTTTACATGATATTTAAAAAAATACCAAAAATTAACCGAACCATACCGATACCGAAGAGAAACCGGCAAGGGACCGTTTCAAAAAATCTAATTTTTGTTATACATATAGAATAACCGAAAACTTGGTATGGTACAAATTTTATAAAATAACCGGCCGAACCGAACCATTGACACCCCTATTGTAAGATATTAGAGTGGTTGATGAATCGAGCTTTTGAGTAAGACCCACAAAGCTAAATAGCGTTTGTATGCCTAACAAACTGAGTTCCGCATCAACAAAGAGAGTCCAATTTGCATGGGTACTCAAGAAGATGTTAAATAGTTTGGTAGCATAGTAAGTGGAACTAACGCAAACTGGAAGATTCATTTTTCTGGCACCTTGATAAAATTCCCATCATTTAATAATTTAACTTCAGATAAAACTAAAAGTTTTCCCAAGACCTGTTTGTCACCTTTTCAATGCCTGATGTACACACTAAACCATTTACTTGTCTATTCTTTGTGGGTAGAGTGTTTATTTCGCACCAAATTAAAGCAAATAGAAGAATGAGCAACATTAACAAAGCAAATCAAATCAAATCCTATTAGACAATCAGACAATGCCAGCCAAGTACCAATTTGAACTCCCTATCCAGCATAGAACTTTCTATTATTTTGCACCAGGAGCAACAGAAGTGCTAATACACGGCCGCCAAAAAATTAAAAGCACATGCATAGAAACTAATATGCATATAGAGAATGTCTTCATAAAATTAGAGCTATAAAGAGAAAAAGAAAGCCATTCAAGGTCTTTCACCAATTCTCCATCTATACCGTTGCTACCAGAAGCCTGAACTCATAACACGACCCCTTGAATTCTTGATTTTTTTGAAACACACAGCAGCAAATATGAGACAAAAGTACTACAATATTGAAGGAATGTCATTTCTATGTCTTAAATTTCTGTCTTAAATCTATTTTATTATTTTTGAGAAATCAAAATCTCAAATTTTCCCCCAAGTTTGTCGATGGACTCAGGTCAAAGTATCCGAAATTAGTTGAACGAATCCGAGACGTATCCCGCACCCGTCCCGTGTCGGTACGGGTGCGGCACCAAAAACGAAGTCCGTGCAACATAGGTTAAAACCGAAATCTTGAACCGATAGAATTAAAATCATGGATCCATCTCTGTATGTTGGCCACTTACTTACAGTGCATGGTTAATATCCTTGAAAATTACAATTCTTGCCAAATAATTAGCCCATCATGTTCCTACAAGGTAGGGTTGTCTAATGGTACGGTATTACCGGTAACAGTAACTGTACTGCTCCGGTGGTTGGGTAGGGGTGGGGGATTTAGGGTGGAGGGTAAGGGTAATGGTAGGATACCCGATTTAGTACCCTTAGTACCGGTNCCCCATTTCATTCTTTCAATTTTCATTCAAAAACTCTCATATCTCTCTAATTCTCTATCTCTCTATCTCTAATTGCAATTAACGTCGGGTCGTCGGCGTTTGGTACATACTTTCCAACTCATATTAATTTTCGCATTTATTTTGTTATACTTGTGTTGCTATTTGTTGTAATTTTAATCATTTATTATTAAAAATGGCTCCTAAATTGGTAAAAAAAAAAGTGTGTAATAGATCTACTAAAGATAATGCTAGGGAGGGGGGTCCCCGTTTTGAAACAAATCCTAACAAGTCCGAGTTTAGGAGTTACATACAAGAAACGTATAATCCTGCTTTTCCAGGTTTTCCTAGAACAACTGTTAGAAATAATGTTTTCGATGAAGACTTGCTGATATATTTGAAGAGAAGAAACTTTGGCATTCCAAAAATAATTCAAGAAGACAACGATGCTTGTAGTGAAATACTACCTACCCGAGACAGGAACAAGTGCTATCAATTTCAAGCGAAGAACCAATAGAAATTATTGAAAATCTCCGTAAATTGAAAAAAAATATGTACTTTTATTTTATAAGTATTGAAATAAAAGTATTGAATTTTTTTCATCCATTAAAGCTTGTTTGTATATAAATATATATATTTTTAATTTTTAATTTAAAATACCCCTAAAGTACCAGTACCCTTAGGACCGGTAGTACCCAAAAAAATACCCTTAACCCTTACCCTTAAATACCTTTAAGAAAAGTACCCTTAAGGAACCCTCCCCGTACCCTTAACCTTAATGTCCCCGTACCCTTAACCGTACCCTCTCCTTAGACAACCCTACTACAAGGTAAAAGAAAATTAGGACTTCAAAAGGATCTGATATAACATGATTGTTAGAGGGTAAATGGCATTTGGTTTAGTAGTCATGTCAAAGATTTTCCTTTGCATGTTCAGAAATGGTAGTCATCTCTTAGGATAAATAACTACAAAAGATCGAGTTGAACCAAAGCAATAAAATTATTTATACCAATTATTAGTTCGCAGAAAAGAAAAAGCCAAGATGAAATTCTTTTTCTTGAACAGAAGTGATTGAACATGAATCTTGAAACGTATATCCATTTATAGGTGATTAGGAGGCAATAGAATGAGAGATACGGTCAAGGATGTGTCGATCATGGAAACGGAGCTTGAAAAGGAAAGTAGAGCTGAACGGCGGCAATTTTAAGCAAAGCCTACTCCATTTGCAGAACCACACAAGATGTGGAAACTTTATCTTTGGATATATTTGTGTCTCAGATAATCACACATAGTACCTCATTACGGAAATCAAATCAAAGTAGAGTTTAGTTATATTGCCTGATCTTATTTGAACCTCCAGTCGAGTTTTTGCATTTGGTAATTTGATACAAGTCAAGATCACCTTATTGATCTCAACCATCAACAGTCACCCTTTCCTTGTATGATCATCCTCTCAGTTCCAGAATTGCTACAATTATGAGTATGATAACCATAAGTTATTGCTTCCCACTTTCCAATCAGAAATCTTGAATCCAATAATGTGCAATTCAAATATTAACAAAAGCATCAGAAGAAAGCTAAGTCAGTTACAAAAGCTGAATCTAGAGGTTAAGTGTTTTCTAAGCTTTGTATCCCAATATTAAAGCTGCAGTCTTTATCCAAGAACTGCTCTATACGTTCTTTTTCAAGGAGAACTGGAAAAAGGACCCACAATTCAAAAGGTCTGGAAAAGGATATGTATTGTACCTGATTGGAAATTGGAGAATCTGAAATCAAGACTATGACCTATTTTTTTGTAGTTGAGCTTGCTAGAGAGACTGAAACGTGGACGTGATAGGTATGTAACCAAAGTTTGATGTTAGAAGAACAAGACTGGGAATTCAACTTTTTCAAAAAAAGAACAAGACTGGGAATTCTTTAATGAGCATTTTATGCGGGTCGAACAACTGAAACATGGAAAGTGAGATATTGAATGATCTTTTCAGGTTGTTGCTTATGTGGAAAATCTAAGTTAACTAAACATGTTTAACAAGCTTGTCTTCAAGTTGAGAACAGAGATATCCTAGTTGACTTGATATTACTTAATGTGGTTTATTTGACATACTGATGGGTACATATTTGTTATCTTCCTGCCAAGCTACCCTCGATTGTTATGAAAAATAGTTAAGTTTGAGATATTGTATGAACCCAGTTTTATTCTAAAAGGGGGTCAAATTCCAAAGATTGGTAAAGTTATCTTTTTTTATGAAGGCTCAACGATTACCGAAGAAAGATGATTTCGGTCTCATAGCAATGTTAAGAGACACGAGAGAGAAAACACTTAGTTTTTAAAAAAGCATTCATGTATTTCCTCGAGAATTTACCAAGACTACCGCCAATACGAGAAAAAGATTTTTGGTATTGACTTAGGACCTGACATGCAACCAATATTGATAGCCCCCCATATAGTGGCATCAGTGGAATTGCTAGAGCTAAAAGAATAATTATCAGATTTATTAGATATTAGATATTAGTTTTATCGGATTGACAAGAGGGGGTTGCTCTAGTGGTAAGCACCCTCCACTTCCAACTAAGAGGTTGTGAGTTCGAGTCACCCCAAGAGCAAGGTGGGGAGTTCTCGGAGGGAGGGAGCCGAGAGTCTCTTGGAAACAGCCTCTCTACCCCAGGGTAGGGGTAAGATCTGCGTACACACTACCCTCCTCAGACCCCACTAGTGGGATTATACTGGGTTGTTGTTATTGTTTTATCGAACCGGGCATATTACTAATGAGTGCACTGATATTGTTTGTAAAAAAAAAAAAAAGACGAGTCCATACAATATGCATTGACTAAAAGTGATTAAACAAGGTAACGATATGTAATAAATATCCATCGCCTCATATAGAGGATCATTTGATTAGTTACAATGAGCTACTCATTCTTTTATAGATTGTCTTTTGGTTCTGGTTAGTTTCAACTTAGAAATACAAAGCAAGATACTCCTAAAGTTTTCTCCTAGTTTGGCCTGCTTGTTGTTTTGCTTCCTGCAATTTGAACATTTTCTCTTTGTCACCTCCCCTCAAGCTGCTGAGTTAATGACTATATTTTCTTGAAATGTGGTGCAGCCAACAAAAGGACACTTTCACTTTATTAGCTGTATATGACAGATACAATTTGTTGGACTTGGACCAATAACTATGAACTGCTAATGGAAGTAAAGTATTCCCTTTATTACGAATTTTATTGCTTTATGAGAGCTTTTAATGGAGTTGAGGAAGATTTTGTACACTTGACGAGTAGCCTCTTTTCCCTTATTTATTTTTGGTGCACCCACAAGATTCCAATGTGTATATACGATTGGGTGTCTTCAGTAAAAAACCATGTCTTTTTGTAAGGTTTCATATTTTTTGGTATACGCCTTACAAGCATGTTTTGGCCCTTTACCTTATCAAAAAAATTAATAGCACTTCTTTCCCAACATTGTGCAACTAAAAAGGGATAGTCGAGGATCTGAAACTACTTAAACAGGAAAGCACTCTATTTTTTTTATCTGAACTAACATGGAAGCATTCTAATGGAAGCCAAAACAAAGAAAAACTGTTTTCCAATTGCCTGACAACTTAAAGGCATTTTCCTTACTCTTATTAAAACAAGAACCTGTTCTCACAAAAGAAATTAGAAAGCTAGCGACACAACTTAGCTTAACTCAAATTGAACGAAAACATAACCATATTGGAGTCAAATAGTGCAGGCAACGACAGCTCATATTGAACAGCAAAAACCAATAGATAAAAAGGAGGTGTGATAAGCAGAGTTAGCATCGATAAAAGTTATTTAAAGACACAATTTGTTACCTGAAAATGCCTTTAGATCAAAAGCACCGTGAAGACAAACTCTCAAAAATGTTACAATTGGATCCCTTGCATCCAATATGGTATCAGTCAGGATGGAAAAACACTGAGATTTAAACCTGCTAGTTTGGAGAGTTAAGTTCAGTATGCAGTTACCTTCAAATTTTCATATACAAGGTTTTTGCAAAAGATTCATTCAAACACTTCAAAACCAACAAGGCAACAGACTCCATTTTTCTGTGTTCTGATTTTAAGAGGCGTCCGACAACACTGAGCAGCCCAAAAAAAAAAAGAAAAAAAAAAAGAGGGTGACGTGCGAAGGTAGTAACAGAAGACTGATAAAACCACCAAAGCAATAAAACCCTATTACTCCATGCTCATATTTACTTTACGCCATTTGAAAAGATAGCTACACAAAAGACAGGGAAAAAAAAAGATTGAAAACAAAGCATAGAAAAGAAAAATAACAGAAATTATAATCACAATTAAATCTGAAATTGACTGAAAAGACTGAGAAAAGATTGAGGCAATAGCAGAGAAGGAACTAAAGAACTAAAGAGAAGCAAAAAAGAAAAGGGACCAAGGGGAAAACCGGAAGAATCAAAATATGGGAAAGAAGAACAACATAAATACAAACGCATTGATTGCAAAAGGCAAACAATAAGAAAAGATAGCTGCACAATATAATGTAGGATGCATCAGATAGCATGCATTCTCATACCCGAAAAACAGAAGCACAAAAAATCCAGAGCATGGTTTCCAGAAGCTTCAAAATACAACACAACAATTTCAAAGGATAAATGAGCAAAAATGGAAAAAGCAGTCACATGCAGTAACATTTGATGATATCATAGTCCTCACGTATATGAAGTTCAAGAAACATCAAAGAAAAAGTGAGAACGAATGACATTCAACATGCTTGCGGCAAAAATATTTTTAGAATTTTTTCTATATTGCCAAAAAGAAAGTACACTTTGTTTCAATCTCTTCTATGGAACCCTCCTCTGAACTCTGAAGGTTATTTATTTCCTAAATAGATGGGTATCTTGGTATCCCGAGTAACAATATTGCCCTCCATATAGCATTTACCCAACAAAATAAAATAGAAATAATAAGGTATCCGGAACATGAGCCCAGACATCTATTTCAAAACATACCTAGAGAAAAAGAAAAAAAAATAAAACCAAAACTCACCGCCAACAGGTAGATCCCGCTGGAACAGAAGAAACCAAAGCTAGTGGAAGAAGTGGTGAACAAACAACAACAACAACAATAACAACAATAGTCCCACAAGTGGGGTCTGGGGAGGGTAGTGTGTACACAAACCTTACCCCTACCAAGAAAGGTGAGACTCAAGAAAAAGCTGACACATAAATTACTGAAGAAGCCAGAATGAGATAGAAACAGAGAGCCCAAATAAACAAAATGGAAGAGGATGAGTAAGAAAGGGATAGCAGCTTTAGAACAGGGTATTCCGAATTCCAAATAGGAGATTTCCAAACCTGCTATATTATTCAATGAAGAAACAATAAGCTCCCTAAATTGCCCCTGTTCGTACCATCTTGTTCATCCATCATTGCCGCTTATATAGTAGAAATATCACTCGCATTAAGCAACCACAAGTACCAAGAAGTTAATAGGTCCTTGGAGCTTCCAACCAAAACTTTGTCACTGAACCAAAATCTGTATCAGAATATTAACAAGTTTCTCCAGGAGAAGATTCAACGAATACTGTCCTTCTTATGAACAGGAACAAACTTTGACAATCCGTAGCTTCTTCAGATTCCAACAGGAAACAACATAAAGTTAGCTACAAAACAACTTTGAACCAAAGAAGTAATTCCCACAGTTGCTAAGACCAAAATTATACTTCAAAATAGAGCAATATTCTTTTACACCGAACAAAACAAGTGGTTAAGATCACAGCATTAACCCACGAATAGTAGAAAAAGCAAAAAGATCAAGCTCTCCTTTTACTCAACCGCCACGAGTTAGGCTCGTGGTATCTATCGTAAAGGGGTTCAATGCGTTCTTGTCTCTTGCGCTTGCTCAATTTAGTTGGGTCAGACACTTTGAAGAATCTCGGCGCCNGGCAGAGCACTATAGACAGGTAAAATAATCAGTTCAGGAACATTTTTACCTAGCCCTTTCATCCTCTCGTACAGACACTGGCAAGCATAATCAATCTCCTCTTGACCAGTCAGGAAAAGGAGGACGTCACCTTCAGGTTCTGTCAAGTGGATCTGTAGTACAGTGATTAAAGCTGCATCAAGGTAATCGCTTTCTGGTTGTTTAGTGTAAAGCACCTCTACTGGAAAAGTTCTTCCTGGAATTGTAAAGATGTTACAGTTGAAGAAATATCCAGAAAATTTCTCTGCATCCAAGGTTGCAGATGTGACTATCAGACGGAGGTCAGGTCTCCTCTTCACAAGTTGCTTAAGCAGTCCGAAGAGAACATCAGTGTGAATGGTTCTCTCGTGCGCTTCATCGAGCATTACGACTGAATACTGGGACAAATTTTCATCAATCAAAATCTCCCTCAGAAGCATACCATCAGTCATATACTTTATAACAGTTTCTGGTCCAGTACAATCTTCGAAACGGATAGCATAACCAACTTCTTCCCCTAAACGACAACCAAATTCCTCAGCAACTCTCTTAGCCACTGACATAGCAGCCACTCGACGAGGTTGAGTACATCCAATTTTGCCCTTTGTTGTATACCCTGCCTCAGCTAAATACTGTGTCACCTGTGTTGTCTTGCCAGAACCTGTCTCACCAATGACGACAAGGACCTGATTATCATGGACAGCCTGTACCAGTTCATTCTTCAACTTGTAAATTGGAAGGCTCTTCCTCTGCTCCTGGAGAGATAGTTTAGACCTCTGCCCAAAGGTCAAGGCTTTACCATAAGCATCCTTTTTCCATTCTGGCATATCATAGGCAGATAAACCAACACCCCTCAACTCCTGTGCCAGATGTCTCTCACCAGTCTCCGGCATTGGGTCTTCCCATGGTCTGTTAAGATCCTTCGGGATGGAATCAAGCATTGTTCTTTGTTGCTGTTCCCTCACTTCTCTTCTCTCTTTAATCAAAGCTGATTGAAGTGCAGCAGCACGACTCAAGGATCCTTCAGGATTTTTAAAAATTTTAACAGGGGACATATCCACTGAATACCGACTCTGACCTTGCAGGAAAGGGGGTTCATCTTCATTCAACTCAATCTCAAGCTCTTCTTCCGCACCCTCTTCCTGATATAGCACCCCATCCCCTTCTTCATCAAACATAGGAAATTCCTTTACACTCATAACACCTGCAGCTATGAGTTGTTTTGCTTCCCATATTTCGGGAGAACTCATTCTCTTCAATGGTCGACGTGATGGAACAACATCTTCCTCCTCTTTAATCCTGATACCTGAAAGACCAATCCTTGTCTTGGAACCCTCACTGTTCATCCCCGAAGGATTCGCCCTCAATCCATCATCATCCGAGCTCTTCTTCAATGGCAACAAATCCCTTCCAGTATTCTGATCAACATCTCTCATCGACAGACTCAGCTTCTGCCCACTAATAGAGATCACCTTCACATAAACCTCCTGGTCACGCTTTACTAAATCTTTTGCATTTGAAACCCTTCTAGTAGCAAGCTGGGAAACATGCACCAACCCCTCTTTCCCCCTAAAATCATTCAGCTGAACAAAACAACCAGAATCCATCACCCTCGACACCCTCCCCTTATACACTCCATACAACTCAAGTTCATCCGACGGATACCTCCCCTTCCTTCTTTCATCATTCCCATCCTCCTCATACCCATCTCTTCTGTTCTTCTCATACTTATTCCTGTCCTGATGCCTCCCAGACCTCATATCATCCTCCTCGCCTTCCCCATACCCATCTCTCCTATTCTTCTCATATTTATTCTTGTCCCGCTCCCTATCCCTATGCCTTTCCCGGCCCTTATATTCACCTCTATCATCACCATGATTATCCCAGTCTCTATCCATCTCTCTATCCCTACCCCTATCCCTATCCCTATCCCTATCCCTATCCCTATCCCTATCCCTATCCTTGCCCCGTTCTCTTCTATCATCTCGATCCCTCTCTCGCCTCCTGTCACGCCTATTCTTATCAAAATCTTCTTCCTCATCCTTCCCCCTCTTACTCTTTGCCTCCAACTCAATCTCCTTCTCTAATTCCTTCACTCTATCTCTATCATCCCTAATTTTCAATGCCGAAAATTCAGAGTCATCCTTACTCAACTCATTCTCTGACTTGGACTTCACCTTAGGAGGCAAAATTGCATGAATAATCGTCAATAAAGTGCGGACAAAATAATCGGGCATTTCAGCACCATTTTCTTTCAATTTCCCATCAAATTCGTCCACTGTGTCGCACTTTCGACCAAGCTCCGTAATAAACTCAGCTAATACTTTATCACCGAACCCTAAATGGGTCTCCAGCTCTGAACAAACCTTTGAAACTAGTGAAAGATACTCTAATTTCTTTAACCCATCTTCTTCAACTTCAGCTCCCATTTTAACAAATCCAAAGGCACGAAATATACACACAAATTGCACAAGAATGAAATTAGGATTTTAGAGGCTTACCGTTTGAGATTGATCGTGGGATTTTGAAGAAGGGGAATTGGCACTAAAATATGTATTTGATGGAAATTATCAATCTGAGCTGGTTAAGGAGAGGAAACCGGCGTAGTTCCGGTTTGGGCAACAGTTGCGAGTTCGGGGACTTATTGCAAGGTTATTCAAGTTATTGGGCCCAAAGCTACTGTACAAATTTGGGCTAAAATGTAGCGGGTAGACCTTCTACTTCAAGTTTAAAAGGAACCCAATTTTTTATTACTAGCAACCTTAAATCGGAACATTACAAAGTTTTAGCAAAAAACTTAAATTATTGTACGGTGACAAGAGAAAGTTACATTCTATAGCAGAACCCACCCAATCCCGTTAAAATAGGGATACTAATTAATAAATCCCAAAATAAGCAATAATGAATGAGGAGAGGATAATTGAAGTATTATCTTCAAATTTGACAATGTTTTTTGTTATACATATACATATCCAAGCTTCAAATATAATTATTTATAAATAAAAAATAGTAGCTTCTGTATCTTTATAGTATAAACATTAACTTTTGGAGTATATTATAATATTATAATACAATTTGCCATATATTTGTTGTATAAACATTACATATATTTCAAAATATATTATAGTTTTGTAAATATTATATACACATAATATATTACTATTATATACACACATCTAAATGGCATATACATCTATCTATCTATACTATATTAAAAGCATGAAGCCCCTTACTTTATACCCTTTAAAAATAAATTTTACATTGGATAAAATTATAATTTAAGTTTCTTTCATATAATTTAGGACCTTAAAATCAACTAAAATTTTAATTATTAATTCATTCCTTATTAAACTAGGTAAGAAGTCCTAATATTTAAAACTTTAATATTAATTTAATATAAATAAATAATATACTTTTAATTTGTTTTCGATGCGGCCAACTTGCGAAAGGTTTTTTTTTTCCTTTATATAAATGTTCTTCTCTAACCCCTATAGGAATTTTTATTTGGTTTCGCATGACTGTGAATATCAACAAATACATAACTAATTTCAAAGTTATTCAAATTTTACATTATAGTTTCAACCAACACAAATTGTAGCTTAATTATGAATCATCACTTAACTTTTACACAAAAGTAAAAGATATAAAAGAAAATCTTTATAAAATAATGAAGGCGGCAGACATCTCTAAGATGGATTAAAATTGTGGACGATTGTTCCCGAAACAAAGTTATAGACAATAAATTGCGTCGAGAAAATAAAATCAAGACAGAAAAATATTGCAACAATCGTAGTATTTTATTTCAAATAATTTGAGTGTACAATCTCTATGAATCCCCTTATTCTTCTCTTCAATAATAAATAAATTCAATGGCCTTTGAGCTTGATCTTGAATATGTAGTTGTTGCCACGAACGATGATCTTGTTCTTGAGCTTGAGCTTGATTGCTTGAACTTGACCTTGATTTGTTCTTTGTTCTTGAGCTTGAACTTGATTTCTTGAACTTGAACTTGATTGCTTGAAGCTTGAAACTTGTAGAGAAATTTGCGGCATTTGATCCACGAGCTCTCTCTTGCTTCTTATTATAACTTCTGGTGTCTTTTATGGATTATGAAGATCCCTATTTATAGTTGTAGAAGGGAAGAGTTATGATAAGAACAAATTTTTTCCGACCAATAAAATTGAAGTGTGACATGGCCGCATTTGATTGGTTAGAACATGTTACTTGCACACGTGGCACGGTTTCATTGGCCTTCTAATGTGACTTGGCATGCCTTGTCATTTTGACATGTGGCATGATCCTATTGGCTATTCCGCTTGACTTGGCGTGCCACGTCATATGACATGTGGCACCAAACTGGGCCTCTAGGAAAATGATATCTTGGGCTTGATGAAGTGGGATCATCACTTTAGCCCAATGGATTAAGAACTATTTATTTAATCCATATATATTAGACTTATATAATTAATTCAATTATATTAATCCAATAAGTTTATTTGAACTAATATATCTTGAATATAAAATATAGTCCAAATTATCTTACGGATTTAATTCCAATAAAATTTATATGTCTACAAATGCTCCTTACTTCCAGACTTGTCAAGATGTAAACTTTAAAGACTAGGCTTGAAGTATTTACAAAAGTAATCGGTATTTCAAGAATTTATTTACGTACGCCTTCATCAAATTGTAGCTAGAAATTTCTCAAAGAACTACCGGACCAATTACTTTATTAAGTGTACTGCCTTTGAAGTAGCACCTTGAATTTTGAACCATCTTCAAGTAATTGCACCTTTATTCACCGTGAAGTCAATGGGTCTGCATCCTTTTTTTCATGTGGGATTCCTTTTCAATTAGCATTTCATGCTCTTTTCCTCTACATCTCTAATTAGCACACTATCACCGACGTTACTCAATCATTTTAGGAGACAACCAAGCATGCTTGATATCCTTTCCACATTAGAAACAAATTGCTACTACCGCCTTACATCCCGCATCGAAATTTCGATATAGAAGGATCTCTTTATTTCTTCACCGCGGATTCTCGCATCATTTTCTTGAAAATGCATAGCAGTTGTTAAAAGGTCCTATGCCCATCCGGTAGAACTAGACAATCTCGCTTTCGGCATAGCCAATTCAAAAAGGCGAGTGCAGCCTAGCTCACCCGGCTCAACAATAGAAATTCCTGCAGTTCAGCCACCCGCGGTTAATTCAATTCACTCTTCTTGAAGCTCTTGTGAAATGGTCTCTATCGAAAGAAGATTTCCAACAACGTCTTTTTATCATCTATATAAACCCATGCTTACACGTTAATAAGCATCAATTTGTAACTTGCAAACCTGCTCGAATTCGTCTCTGACAGGTAAAGGTTTTTTTTTTTGTTGCGTCCCCCCCCCCCTTTTTTTTTGTAGGTCAAACAAGAAGGATTTGTTTTTGTTTAACATGATGATCTATACATGAATAAGACAATCATAGGGCATGAGGGGATGGGTACTCATCCTCACCTGAATATCGGAGAGATTACTCTCAATATAGTCGACTACCGGAGAGATTATTCTCAAAATGACCCGACTATCGGAGAGATTACTCTCAATGTGGCTCGATTATCGGAGAGATTATTCTCAAAATGACTCAACTATTGGAGAAGTTACTCTCAATATGGCCCGACTACCGGAGAGATTACTCTCAATGTGGCCCGACTACCAGAGAGATTACTCTCAAGATGACCCGACTATCGGAGAGATTACTCTCAATGTGGCTCGACTACCGGAGAGATTACTCTCAAAATGACCCGACTATCGAAGAGATTACTCTCAATGTGGCGACTATCGGAGGCCATTTCATCCATTTAGACCTTTGTGCCCATTCTAATATTATTGATTTGAATTTTGATGACCTTTTTTTTTTCAGCCCGAAGAGATGACAAATTTCAGAGACTATACCTCACCTTCCTCCAAACTTAGATATCTCATAATCGAGACTGAAGATGGCATAGAACAAACCAAGCTTTTGGTTCACACCTCACAAGCTAACCGGTATGCAGCCTCATGGCCTTCTTTGAGGAACTCCCTTCATGTAGAAAACTGGACCTTGGAGCACAAATCAACTTCTAATCCATTGTCCAAGATGTGGTCTCTCCGGGAGCCAATCCATCGCCACGTAAATATTTCTAGCACCCTTCCAAACTTAGGACGTCGCATAATTCAAGGTGAAGTACGCTGTGGAAACACAACAACAATCGAGGGCGAGTATCGTCATATTCCAGGATATTGGGAATGGGCTAAAGATGTATTTGGTAGAAGCCAACAAACCCTAAGTACAGCAAAGATTTACGATGCTATCTATGCCTCACTTTTCACTTATGATCGGAACTCGAGTATATTTCAAGCATTTTGTGAGGCTTGGTGCCCCAAGACGAATACGCTTCTTGCATTAGTCGGGAAACTATCTATCTATCTTTGGGACTTGCATATCCTTGGAGGTCTTCCCATTGTGGGTTCTCCATACGAAGAAGTGGTACCTGAGACAAGATAACTCATCGGATTGGACGAAAAACAGATTAGATTTATTCCTCGATCTTGCGAGTATTTATTTGATGCCTTCCATCACTTGAAGGAAGGTACGGGTGTTAACCAAAAGGTCTCCTTGATCAAGTGGACAAATTTTTGGTATAAAAAAACTTTAATTTATAAACCTGCCCCACTGCGAAAGGAAAAGAAGTCTGCGGGCCTAAAGTCGACACATAATCCTAACGGAGTTATTCCCGATACAACTAGGTGGTCGAGTGATCAAGAAGTTATATTCTCCAAGCTTAGGGTGAGGTTTGACAAGAAAGATGAAACATATATAGCAGCATTCTTATCAATTTAGCTATGTGCCTTTGTGTTTCCCAAGGCAGAAAACTCAATTCATCTCGAGACTTTTAAGATGGCAAGCATGATGGCAAGCGGGCGAAAGATTAGCCTTGCGATCCCAGTTTTGGCGAGTATTTATCATGGTTTGAATAAGATTTCGTGTTCTTCCCAACTTGATCAAGTCAAAGTTTGTTTTCCCATCCATTATGTTTATGGCTGGCTTGCACATTACTTCAAAACCCACTATCCACTTGCTAAGGGTTCGTCCATCCCTTTGATGGTGGCATACTCAGGAGAGGGAGCTGCGAGGTACTTTGACGAGAATGATGCAAGAAAATGCATCCACAATGGGGAGGATATAGTTTGGACACCAACAATGTTAACCAATTCTCGTCCTTATTATTATGTGGATAACGATGCCCCTCAAGAGTTGGAGTCAAATTACTTCACGAGCTTATGTTTTAATTACCTCCCTTTGAGGTATGGTAACTCATTCATCATCGAGCCATATAGCCCACATCGGTTTGGTCGTCAATTTGGGTTTTACCAGAACATCCCCAGGTTTTTGGAAAAATGATATCCGTAGCGCCTCTCTAGATGAAGGACTCGAATTTCGGAGGATTTGCACACTTTATCGGTCTATGTCACGTGCGGCTTTTCCCCCAATGGGAGATCCTGTGGAGAAGCCTTTCTCCACCAATTATTTGTCTTGGTGGGAGAAAGCGCATGAGAAGTTTCTCGAGAATAATTTACAAGCTTTGGTAGACAATGTTGGGCTAAAATTACTACTCCTTTAGGAGGTGAAGATCAAGGTGTTGGAAAGACGCTCTCAAAAGTCAAAGAACCACCTACTCTAATCCCAAAAGTAGTTACACAACATAAGAAAAGGAAGCTTAAATCCTCAAAGGCAGATTTAAAGGAGGTGGTGTGCACTTCAACAGATATATAGAAACACCCTCCAGTTCTTCAATTTAGCAAGCAAGTTCCTCAAGATTCAAGCCAGAGTACCAATGAAGATCAAAATTAGAAAAGGAAACGGCCTATGCTAGTAGAGATCGTAGAGGTTCCAAGTGTCAATAGTCCCTCAAGAACGCATACGGATTGTAACAAAGAGGTAAAAATACAATCACCTTGACCTTTATTTTTATTTTTATTTTTAATCGAACGAATAGCTTCACTAAAAAAGTATTCACTTTCTTTGCCTTTTCCTTATGGAGTTAAATGTCATTGGGCATCCGGTGGTATCCCCACATAATAAGTCGTAAGTGAGTAATGAATCTATTAGAGGGCTAACATTTAAAGTGAAGTCGTCTTCAAAGGCATCATCTTTTCCTCATGACAAAGTCCTAAAAAGACAAACTCTAAATGAGATAACTCGCGTTCCACCAATGACAAATACATCAGTATCTATTTTTGAAGGAAAAAGCATTGTCTTTAATCGCAAAAAGGAATTCATCTTGGGACTTTGGGAGGATATTTGCAATAGAATCTCCAAAACTCATGCAGAACTTCTCTCATCTTATAGGGAGCAAGTCACTGAGATTTTCGAGGATACGAAAAAGGCGAATATTATAGATCTTTCTCCATTAGAGTGTTTACTGGATTCTCTTTTCAAGCTTGCTGCTTTATATGACCAAGAGCGATCCAATTTGGCTGATAAGACGAGTCAAGGTGAGAAGTTGGAGCTGATTTCCAAAGCTAAGGAGCGTCTTGAATCGTTCAAACTTGAAGCAAGTGAGAAAGTCAAGAAAGTTTCCTCTAGTGAAAAGAAATTGAAGAGAGTTGTGAAGAAATTGCAGACATTACAACAAGAGAGGGAGAACCTCCAAGGTGTTATAGAAGTGACTCAAAAGGAGGTTGAAGAGATTCAAACAAAAGTTTCAGCTGTCGAGACTGAGGTCTCTTCATATGACAATATAAATTTGCTGACTGATGAAGATTCGGCCAATTTGGAGGAGAAGAAGAAGAACCTGGAGACTAGCTGTCAAGAACTGATCAACTACAAGTTTTGTTTAGATTAGGCTATTAGCATTATCTCCCCTTTTATCTTTATGTTAGATTGACCTAGTAGCTATTTATTTCATCTTAAATAAGATTGCTTCTCTTTTGCTTTACATTGCCCGACATTTATCTTAGTCGCATAATTTTCAGCTTTACGCGCTTGTAACGAAAGATTCATATCTTGTACTGGGAGAGTCCAAATAACGAACCGTTTAATTTCTCAAAAATTAGACTTCAATATCTAAAATATGTTCAAAAATTAGAATCAAACACCTTTAGAATCGACCCAGATAATATTTTGAAACCAACTTTAGATTCTACCACGTAGAAAATTTCAAATTTGCGCAGTCTCACAAAACAAATCATATCTTGGTGTAGGCACGTCAGAAACACAAACCGTTTGATATTTTGGAAACTTAACTTACAGATATATAACATATCCAAAATGCAAAACTTAATTCCTTAAGGATAGTTTCGGATAATAGTTTGAAATCAATACTAAATTCTGACACGGCGACGATTTCAGATTTGTGCGACTTCATCAAAAGTTTTGTATCTTGATGTAGGAATGTTGAAATCACGAATCATTTAATCTATTGAAAACTAAACTTCAAAATCTAAAACATATCCAAAATATAAAATTTAATACCTTAAGGATAGATTCAGATGATAGTTCGAAATTGACTTTGGTTTTTAATATGCCGACAGTTCCAAATTAGTACGACTTCACCAAATTTTTGTGTCTTGGTGTGGGAAGCCTCGAGATCGCAAGAACTTTTTAATTGCCAAAAGTTTAAATTCAAGAGATTCATTCTCACCAAATGTCTTGGGTTCAAGTCTCACTGAATTTGAAACATTGTAAAGGCTTGCCAAAAACAAAACTTGAAGGTTTGGATAACATGAAGGCATAACGAATTCTCAGACTTCAATGCAAATGCTTGGCAGCCCCCTAGAAGATATTTGTCATTTCATTGCAGACACCAATTTACCATAGTGGCTTTTCCCCTTTAAATCAAATGGGATCCAAAGTTTAACAGAAGAATGGTATATCAGCTCGATTTTCAAATGTTGATTGAATGAATTACATTCCATCGTACTTCATTCGGACAACGATTGGGGGGTTATGTATCTTTTGAACTTATGTAACTGAACTCAGAATGAAACTCTAAGCTGCCTACGTACCTCAGTAAAGAGGATCAAGTCATACTGTAGTTCAGAATGCGTAATAATTTTTTTTTCTTATTTTTTTTATGTCCTAACTTTTGCCTAGGCCACCTCTTTCGAGGTTTTCAACCTAGCAAACTCTTCTTTTTTTTTTTATGTCCTAACTTTTTCCTAGGCCGCCTCTTTCGAGATTTTCAACCTAGCGAACCTTTTTTTGTGGTGGGCCGTACATAGTTTAAACTCATGCGGGCCAAGAGTATAGGAACAAGTAGTTTAGGCTCACTCGTCAAGGAGCATAGCAACTTCAAGGATAATACTTCTTCAAAAACTTGCCATTGATAGGGCCGATTCTCATGCCATCTACATCAACTACCTTGTAAGCCCCACTTGATTAAGCTTCTTGTACGACATATGGCCCATCCCATTTTGAAGTGAACTTTCCTATAGGTTTATGGGAAGTAATTATAGGTCTTCGTATGGAAAGGACTTGATCTCCTACTTGAAAGGATCTTGGGCGAACTCTTTTATTGAAGGCGCGAGACAATCGAGCTTGATAACATTCAAGAATCTGTTGAGCTTCCAACCTTTTCTCATCAAGAGCCTCTAACTCTGCTAATCGAAGTCGAGTATTTTCTTCATCGGTGATGCCTTCTTGAATATCTAATCATAATGAAGGTATTTGATGCTCGTGCAGTGAGTTGTCCTATATGCCCACAGAGCTTCCTCCATACGATCATGCCAATCCCGTTTGGATTTGGAAATGACTTTCTTTAACAAGTTGCATAGAGTTTTGTTGAATGCCTCAGCTATACCATTGGTAGAAGCATTGTACATCGAAGAGTTACGTTTCTTGAAGCCAAAGAGATCATAAATCTTGTTCATCAACCTATTATCGAATGGCTTTCCATTATCCATTTTTATGTAACGAGGAATGCCAAAGCGATAGATTATGTTTACTTGGATGAAACTTGCAACATTTTCCTTCTTTACCTCCTTAAGAGCAACAACTTTAGCCCATTTTGAGAAGTAGTCAGTTGCAGCCAAGATGTATAGGTACCCACCAGAGCACTTTGGCAGTGGTCCAACAACATCCAATCCCCAAGCGTCAAACGGCCAGGATGCCACAGTCGGGTGCAACACTTCAGGAGGTTGATGAATAATATTCGCATGGAAATGACAAGCCTTGCATCTTCGAGCGTAGTCCAAGCAATCTTTTATCATCGTTGGCCAATAATATCCCATCCTTTTTATATGGAAGTGGAGCTTGGTCCAGACTGCTATGACCCACATACCCCAGAATGTGCCTCTTGCAAAGCTTGGAGTACTTATTCTTCCCCTAAGCATCGCAAGAGTACTCCCTCGAATGACCTTCTGTATAGAGTATATTTGTAGTAAAGGAAGCGAGGTGCACGGCGACGGATTTCAGTCCTTCTCCTCGGATTTTCTAGAAGTGTCCCATAACATAAGTAGTCGATAATGGGTTGTCGCCATTCTTCTTTCTCAACTTCAGAAACAACGACAAGATGCTTGAGTTCATTTTCTTCACCTTTAGCCTCATTTGTTGGCGGTACTACCCATTTTTGGCAGACAGTAACTTACGCTTGATCGGGCAGGGTTAACAACGAATCTAGGGCAGCTAAAGCATCAGCCTTCTTATTTTCTTTCCTTGGCACATGCTGAATAGTCACATCACCGAGCTGCCCCATTTATTTTTTAGCGTAATCATGATATGGGCGTAGTTCAGGCTTCTTGACCTCGTAACTACCTAGAAGCTGATTGACCACTAACTGAGAGTCACCAAAGATTTGCAATTGTAACCGCTTCATTTTGATAGCCATTTCAAGCCCAAGTATTAGTGTTTGATACTCAGCAACGTTGTTAGAGCAGAGTTTCGTCAACATAAAATAGTAGGGCAGAACTTTACCTTGAGAAGTGACAAATACTACACCAGCACCAGCTCCTCCACGATGTGCAGCACCATCAAAGTACATCTTCTATGGAGGCTGAACTTCAATAACCATTGCGTCCTCATCAGGCAGTTCGTCAGTTAGCTCCCAACCATCAGGTATAGGGTGATCTGCCAAGAAGTCTGCTAACACTTGTCCTTTTATAGCTTTTGAGGGATGTACACGATTTCAAATTGTTGAAACTGGAGGTACCACCTTGCTAGTCGATCACTAAGCACAGGTTTTGACATCACGAACTTGATGGAATTTGCTCTAGAAACCAAACGAACGACATGAGCTTGAAAGTAGTGCTTCAACTTTTGAATTGAGAAGACTAGCGCCAAACACAACTTTTCAATTGGCGAATAATTCAGCTCGTTTGTTGCCATCATCATGCTCAAGTAGTAAAGAGAGTTTTCTTTCCCGTCACTATTTTCTTGGGCAAACAATGCTCCAACAGACCTTTCTTGTGCTGAAATATATAGTATCAACGACTTTTCAAGTATAGGGGTTGCTAAAATCGGAGGCTTCATCAAGTAGGATTTAATGCTCTCAAAGGCATTGCTACACACTTGATCCCATTTGAAAGGGACACCTTTCTTCATAAGGCGACTAAATAGTTGGCATCTCCCAGCTAGGTTTGAGATGAATCTCCTAAGCTACGCTAACTTTCCTTGCAGACTTTTCAATTCATGAATATCCCGAGGTTTAGGCATTTTCAAGATTGCATCTACTTTGGCTTGATCAATTTCTATCCCTCAATGTCGGACAATAAAACCAAGGAACTTTCCGGAAGTAACTCCAAAGGCGCATTTCAATGGATTCATCCTAAGTTGGTACCTCTGGAGCAACTCAAACACCATTCTCAAGTCTTTCAAGTGGTCGCCCCTCTTTCTTGATTTTACTACCAAGTCGTCCATATAGCATTTGACATTTTTGTGGAGAAGGTCGTCAAAAATATTCTGCATAGCCCTTTGATAAGTAGTACCAGCGTTCTTCAAGCCAAAAGGCATTACCCTGTAGCAATAAATACCCTTGGGGGTGCAGAATGCAGTAAGCTCTTCATCTTTTGGTGCAATGAGAATTTGGTTATAGCCTGACGAACCATCCATAAATGACATTTCCTCATACCAAGTAGTAGCATCGATCATCAGCTATGGAATAGGATACCGGAATTCATCTTTGGGACACGCATTATTGAGATCCCTGAAGTCGACGCACACTCGAATCTGGCCATTCTTCTTCCTTACAGGGACAATACTTGAAACCCACTTTGGGTATTTAACTTGCCGAATAAATCCAGCTTTAATACGTTTGTTAACTTCGGTTTCAATCAGGGGAACCAAGTCTGGCCTAAAGCGCCTTTGAGCTTGCTTAATAGGACGAGTGCCATTCTTGACCGCAAGGTGATGGACTGCTACTTTAGGGTCCAAGCCAGGCATTTCTTTGTAACTCCAAGCAAAGTCATCCCTAAACTCCTTGAGTAACTCAATATAAGTGCTTTCTTCATCAACTTCTATTAAAGCACTTAGGTAGGTGGGTCTTGGTTCTTCATCAGTGCCAAGGTTAACTTCTTTTAAAGCATCAACTGTAGTCTTCACTCCTTCTTCAAGTTCAAGTGGAGCATCTTTCGCATCTTCATCTTCTTGAGGGTCCCCATCGTTGAAGGATATGTGATAACACGGTGAAACATCGTCCAATTTCTCGCCATCCTCCATTAGAGATAAAACACCATGCTCGCCTTGTGCGGTAACATGATACGAAGAACCCACACTTTTTTCGTCTTCATCACGTTCTTTAGTGTAGACCACAGTGTATGGCTTCACCTTCAATACCTCATCACATGACTTTTGTTTGTCGCTTCATTCTAGAAGGAACCAAACTTTGGAAATCTTTAGAGATCTTCTGAA